CCACCGCCATAAAATTGGCATGAGCCGGTTCACGGAGTTGAAGGCTACGTTTCACTTCAGAACCTTACTTTCCCGTAAACGAACCAGGTTTCCTTCGCGAGGTTACGGACCTATCGTCGCTGTCATCATAAGGCGTCCGCAGAAGATCATTGTGATTGTCTTTCACGGACTCGACTTCCTCGCAGTGGATAGCGGGATTGTTTTCATTGCATCGAGTAGTAAGGCTCAAAAGCTCTTTATTACCGCCTCTTACTAGATGGCGCCCACTTACGCTGCAAGAACGAAAGTCCTCCATCAAATGCGATGGCACCACCTTCGGACAGAATACTTAGCTGGTAACATGTTGAAGAGCGTTTGATCCGATGAATCATTTGAAACCATCCTGCTTGAGTGATTGTTTAGAATACCTCCTTTGTTCGAGTGAGCTCAAACCTTATTGGGCCGGTGAGGTGCAAAAAACTTCCCCTGTAATTCTTTTCCAGTGTTCCTAAAATGTGAGTTCGCTCCTTAGATGGCCAATATCGAGCCCAAAAACGTTATAAAACTGTTTCGGCACATTTTATGGAAAAGCAAAACGAGCGCATTCATTAAGGGATCGATCCTTGATGTCTTGCCTACCAGTCCACCGCATTAGCCGCTAGGGCACCGTTGCGCTGGTAAGGGTTTTGCTCGGCTCGGTGATCCGTTCGTTGCAGTGATATAACACGAACACAGATTTGAGATCACCGTTTGGAACCACTCACGGCGGTATACATCTGATCTTGAATGGCCACTGCGACCAAGTATCCTTGCCTTCTGAGTCGCGTACAGGGTCGGTTTTGTCCAGAGGTTCGCCGCATATAGAGTACGTCATGTCAGCAGGATTGTTATAACCAAGATGAAGTACTCTGGGAGTTTCAAACAAGAAGACTATTGAAGTACTGCATCGATAGTGACCTGTAAGTGGGAATCGGGCTCGCCAAATATCTTTATAGCGTCTGCAAACATTTTGCATTTGCTTCCGTCTTCAGCACCAACTCCACGCAGATGATACACATAAACACTGAACAATAAAGGAGATAGAACACTCCCTTAAGGTACTCCAGAACGTAACTTCTAACAGAAGACGACCCTCCATCAACAGTGACCTGGAACGTGCGCTGAGATTGAAAGGCTCTGATCCAAGTGGTAATCCTATAATGATTACCAATGTGCTCTAATCTTGGAAGCAACAGATCGTGAAAAACGTCGTCAAGTGCTCCTTGGAAGTCCAGATAAAAAAATCAATGCTGTTTTTGGAATCCCCAGCGATAGTCCATTCATTGAGTTATTCCAGTAATTGAGTTTCAATGGATTTACCTTTTTTAAAGGCACGGTTCATGATAAAGATGGTTAACTTTGGGAGTCCATCTTTTGGGTACCTCTGCACGAAAAAATATCAAGTCAAAGAGTAGGGATATGAGCACGGTCCCCGGAAAGGACAAGTACGGGTTCGAGTCCCGTCCGAGACTGGAGTTCAGTTAGGTTTTGGTTAGATTAAAAGAATGGAAAAGTAACCAAAAGAAATTACGGCTACGAACCGTTCGAGTGAAAGCACACTGCTTAGTGATAAAAATCCTTTATCAATAAAAGCAACCAACGAGAAACTCAATAAGACTATAAAAAAAATTCTTTTTACTACAGCCAAAGAAATCACTCAAAAAAACGCAATAGCTATAAAAGCGATTACAATATAGGAAACAAAACACCCTAACTGAACTCACGGCCGGGGCAGTACGCGGCTTCCCTCCTGCACGGCAGCAGAACTCCAGCGGGGTCGGACGGCGACGATGACGGCCTTCCACGGCCACGACGAACACTCAGCTACTTACCACTTACTTACGGCCTACCGCCCATTGTACATTCCCGCGCATTTTGGGGTTCCGCTGCGGACAGCCCCGTCCCTTTAAACTACGCACTACCACACAACAGTTTTGCCCACAAATCCGACCTTGTGAGACTTTCGCTTCGCGCACTGCGGCGTTAAGACAGCAGTTAACAAAATATCAAGTCGAAACAAGTTATGTCATGTAAAGCTTACAGCTTATCGGTTCTGTGCTGATATTGGCCGACCGGCTCAACACGTTGTACGTGTGTGTGCTGATAAGCCATGGCATATAAGCCATTAAGAAGGCAAGGCGAGCGGGCTCTCGGTAGTGTGAGAGCACGGTCTCCGGAAAGGACAAGTACGGGTTCGAGTCCCGTCCGAGACTAGAGTTTTGCCCACAAATGGCCAACCTTGTGAGACTTTCGCTTCACGCACTGCGGCGTCAAAACAGCAGTTAACGAAACAAAACATCAAGTCAAATCAAAGAGTTATTCGAGAGGAGGGGAAATGCATGCAGAGACTGGTTTGATAAACTTGAAAGGCTTACCATCCGGTGTGGTAGAGGAGCAAGTTGGCCACCCAGAAAGTAACAAGTAAATTTCACGACGGTCAAACCAAATCGAATCAGCCATTTTTGGAAAGCTCAATGGTCACAATCCAGATACCCATCTGCAAGTAATTGAGGTCTGTCACAGTCAGTAGTGAGAACAGATCCATCACTGTTTTTGAGGAATCCTGTGCCTTCTTTTCGCTTAATTCTGTTGTTAACCTAACTGTGAAGGGCTGACATGTTATTCGACGACAATATCTTTCCTGTATTGAACAGATGAATCGAAAGAGTTTCTCGCTAAATTTATGCACTTGTAATTAATCCAATCCTCCAAATTGGGGGCAGAAGCCCTTCTGCATTCTTTCTCTTTGAGTTGGTAGCACTTCCTTAAGTAATAGGGAATGTGCTTGAGAGAGACCGACAACCTCTGTATGGTAACGAAGAGATCCATGCAATGTTTTAACACAAAAAGAAGCTTCATAAAACTCATTTACCGAATGTCAGCACTGAAAAACACCTATCCAGTCAACATTACCCCAGTACCAAGATATCCTCCCAATATTCTCATTTCTAAAGTCACGAGAGTAAACATATTTATTAGGGCTTCTCAAACCCTTTAACAAAAAGTGAGTAGAGGCGTGCTCACTGAAGCCTAAGGAGAGGCTACGAGAACTTGCTTATCAATCCCGGGTTCGTTACAAAACAACAAATCGAGCGCATGACGTCCTCTAGTGAGCATATTCACATGTTGGGTGAAACTATGATTACTAAGCATTTGCAAGAAATCACTAGACGCTGATGGAGGCGAAAATAGAACATCATGCCACTTTATGTCCGGGTAGTTAAAATCATCAAAAGGCATGGAATGTTGCAGGATGGTAAATCACTGATGCATTTAACCCAATTGTAAATTATGCTCTACGGAGCACTTAGGCGTTCTAAACACCAGAATGAGCCTGTAACTGCTTTCATTAAAAGAGACATCACAGGAAAGTGTATTATATGCTTCAGACACGGATTCGGCGTACACAGTAACAGGAAACAAAGATCTCAATAGAAATAGAACGCCACCTTTTTCTCGATTTGTCGCACCTAACTTCCTCATAAAAAGCGAAAATGTCGCTCAGCGTAGACTGCAGATTGTGCTTCTTTTTCAGTCAAGTCTCCGTTAACGCAACCACAACACATTCTTTGTAGGACGTTTCGTGTATAAAATAGTGAATATTTTTTTGGCAGGGACCTCATGTCCGCTAGAATGCAAAATGATTCATTATCGGAGAGCCGAGGAAACCCCACGTGTTTAACGGAGTTGGGGCAAAAGCAACATCTGGAACTGCAACTACAACATTTTTGGCAGAAGAAACATTGATAGAATGAACATCATTAGAAGCACGAGTTTTGAATAATAGGTGGAATGCGATTGACTGGACTACTAGGCCTAAAAGCTCTTGGGCACGCAATCCATCCCGTTCAGCTTCGGTTAAAGATGGCCTAATATAAATGCCTTTATTGAAAAATGTTCCAACATAGATGCTCGAGAAAGTAATTGCCACTGGAAAGATGTGTTGGGGAGAATAACGTTGAGTAAACGTGGGCGACTAGATCTTGGTCTCCCCATGCGAAAGAAAGAGAGAGGAATACATTAAATTTAGAGAAACAAACAGATTTTCTTAATGACATCAGAATCGGAAGGTAAGCGTACAGCAGGACTAGGATCAGCATTTTCAGTTATTCCTATCCAAGCAATTCTTAAAAGATTCAATCTCCTTTTTGAGATTTTGAGAAGTTCATTTTCGGCTTTTTGAACCCGTAGTTCCTCCTCTAGATCATGAATGCGTTGCAATAAGTCATCGATTTCGGTACTGTTCGGCAGAAGATGAGCAAGTATAACTCGACGTAGGTTGAAAGGCTGTCATCGGACAAGAGACTATTGTTCGCAGTCGCAAGTGATCCACATCAATCAGTCAGTGAACCGCAGGGCTTTTATGAGACCGGTCTTGAATTGTGTCAATAACACTCATAATTTGGACTACCTATGAAGGTGGCAAAGAGATCCGTATAAGAAATTTTCTTCCCTACCACAAGGAAAAGTGCAACAATGTAGATCAAACAACGCGTGACGATCAATCGAGAACGACCATCAATTATTGAACAGAAACAGAGAACCTCAAAGAATGTCCTGATTAGGTGGCTTTCACGGCAGGTCTTGACTTTATCCTAACCACAAGGGTACTCGCAACTGTCCGAAGTCGAAGATATTGAAGACAGAATTTGAAAAAGCTCCCCAGTTAGACGGATGGCGTAAAGGCGTAGATGGCGTTAATCAATCCCGTTTGAGGGATGCGCCCCAGCACTCGACTTTCATTCAGAACCGTAGTGGCGTGGTGAGTGCGTCTGTGGCGGATACAATAACTTGTGGCCTGGTGGCCAGCCGAAGTACAAGTCAGCGCTTTTATCCTCCGAGACCAATTCACCGATTGTCAGAGAATCGACCATTGATAACATATTGTTGGTGTTTATGTTTATTCCTTGATGCTTTGGTATGTACTATGAAGTTCTATCTAACCTCTGTTATGTTAGCTATTCATCTAACCAATACGGACGATGGGTCTTTGGAATATGGTTGAGCTGATATTTTCGCGCCATATTTTTGATCTCCGAGGGGTATATAAAGCCCGCCATTAGGATGCTCAATAAGTCTTTGTTGGAAGTTCCGAGAAAAGTCGTCTGTGTATTTGCAAGTGACTAAATAAACTGAGTTCTAGTAATCGTACTGTACTGTACTGCATAAAATCCCGCGTGGCAAAGGAGTGAAAAAAGACAAGTTTCACTTCACCGTTCCCGAAGGGATGGAAGGCTTGGTTGGCTTAGGTGGATATCGATCCGGGATTCGAACCCGTGACCATGCGTATTTGAAGTGCGCCACTTGCCGCAACACCACCCCACTATCTCCATGTTAGAAGTAAAAAAGTAAAATGTGCCGCAAATGCTCCATCTGACACTTTTTGTTCAAAGTGATGGTAAAATCTCGAGCGGAAATGAAATTTCTCCACTTCCTTCCTAAACGGAGAACAATTGTATGCCCCATCCGTTTCAGTTAGACTCTCGGACGTCTAGGGCGGTTGGCTAGCCATAGTGACCTTTCAGAGATCCTTGAGCTCAGCTGAAGAGGATTTCCGGCAACTTCAAGCCCTGGATAGACAGATCAAGTCTTTCAATGTCGGACCAAATCCGTACACATGGTTCACGATGGATGCCCTCGAAGATACATGGCGTAACTTGCAAAGAATCATTAAGGTATCAGACATTGTTACTTTCTCTGCTGTTTGTGTTATATCGATCCTGAATGAAGAAATTGTAGGATCGTGAAGTTGAGCTACAGAGGGAAAATGCCCGTCAGGAGGAAAATGACCGATTGCGCCGAGACTTCGCCAAACTCGCCAATGTTTTTCATAACTGGTTGACACAAACCCGCCAGGTAAGGAGCAAAAATTAGGCGTGCACTGCGAATTCATTCGCTATCTACGAGTTTAGGAAATGATGGAAGCTAGTGGATCTCTTGAAGAACAGCTCGAAGTTTTAAAACGGAAAGCTGGCGAAATTCGAGCGAACAAAACACAATTGCGAAAAATTGAAGAGCAAGGTGCTATGCTGGAAAGGAATTTGATCCTAGACAATAGGTGAATGAGAAGGGTCCTTCTTATTTTGTTGCATTATTTTTCAAAAGGTATCTGAAAGAATGTATGTCGTCATACCAAAGATTCGCGTAGCTCTATTTTCAGCGAGCGTTTTCGAGTCGAGGGTAGTACGATTTTCTAAGATTTGGTTCTGGTTTTGACAGAAATCTTTTCACTTCGTGAGTGTATTATGAAGCAAATATCAGTCTGACTTGAACAAACTGCTAGGGAAGAGTCACTTCACAATCTGACTGATGTTGACTTCAGCTTTTGGGTTTATGCCAAAGCACCGCATTATGCTTGACATTTTCGTAAAGTTTGCCCTTACACTCATCGTTGGGAGAAGCTTTTATTTGTTTCTAGTATGCTCAAGAATTTGTCCGTTCGCAGTGTTTCTGTATAATTTAGTGCAAGCAATTTTTTTTTGCAAATTTTTTAAACGTTTTTTCATTTCAATGTTTGCCCTTTACTTACCGATGTATTTCTATTTGTTGTCCTTCCTTTTCATTCCATTCTTTACAGTTGTTTTCAAGGTATACTGAACATTCGACCGTCGGCCTGGCCCAAGCTTGGGACCAACTCGATCAGCTTGCTATGCGAATGCAGCATAATCTCGAACAACAAATACAAGCTCGCAATCAATCTGGTGTCACTGAAGAGGCGTTGCGCGAGTTCTCGATGATGTTCAAGCACTTCGACAAGGTTGTTAATAATATTTTAAAGTGAAGCTTCCCGTAAAGTGTACAGGTTGTTGACTGGTTGAACAGTACAGTTGAACATTGACTATTGAGGAAAAATGCGGACGTTTGGATCACCAGCAATTCAAGAGTTGTCTGCGAGCGCTTGGCTACGATCTTCCGATGGTGGATGAGGGCCAGCCCGAGCCAGAATTCAATCGCATCCTGGATATTGTTGATCCCAATCGTGACGGTTACGTCACTTTGCAAGAGTATATGGCGTTCATGATCAGCAAAGAAACCGAGAATATCCAGTCCTCGGAGGAGATCGAAATGGCCTTCCGTGCACTGTCCAAAGAATTCCGTCCTTATGTTACTGCCGAGGAGCTTTACGCGGTGATTGGAATGTTCTTCTTTCCATCTATACTTTTGTAGCGCCAAATAGGCTGAATTTGAAAAACGGTGTTGGTCTCTTTCCTGCTTTTGTTCTCTGTTACCTGGTTTACTGATGCGAACGCATTTATAGCACTTTTCCTTCAGAACCTCACTACGGAACAAGCCGAGTATTGTATCAAGAGGATGAAACCATACACGGACGCGATTTCCGGTCGTTCAATCCAAGGCGGTCTCGATTACGAGCAATTTGTGCATGCGCTCTTCCAAAGTTGAATACCATGTTTGAACCATAACTTGTTATCATAATTATCACAATATTATAGAATGTTGTTCGCTGTTGCTTATCAATCCTTGCTAAGTTATGTGAATGCAATGATCATTTTTACTTATGCAATTGTTCGTTATGCGATCTTTCCTCTGCATATTCTTACAACAGCTTGATGTGATGTGCTGGAATATAATAAATACTATTTTTTCATTACGTGAGTTTAGATTGTGTTGAAGATCCGTAGAAGTTTGTGGTCGGATGATAATGCCAGAAACGCGATGGATGGACCGGTTCTAACTGATCCAAGTGTTGGGTTGTAACATAAGTTCGTACCGTTTTGCGTTAGAGTTCTTTTACAACGAGAATAATTTTTTTTTTTTTTTTTTTTTTTTTTNGTCTTTTTTCTGGCTCAGAAATGGAATATCCAGGAGAAAAAAATTTGCATTTTTGACATCTGTTTCTCTTTGCTTTTGCTTTTCATCGAGGTCAAAAAGCAGCCGAAGCCGCTCGGGACATATGCAGTGTGTACGGGAAGGTGTCTTCGGTGTGTCTACTGAAAGGAGTAGGTGGCCCCAGGAGAGACGCCGAAGCCGAGAGTCAAGCAGGATCTTCAACCAAAAAGGTCATGATCTGCGTTTGGTGGGACTGGGACGGTATGGTGCACTGGGAAATGCTCGAACGAAACGCCTTTGTCAACAAGGAGGTCTGTATTACCCAGCTGAACCGTGTAAGATGAGGCTATTCAGCTGAAAAGACCCTATAGATAAGGACAAGTCATCTCGCTCCTCGACAACGCCAGGCCCCATATTGCCCAAGTCGTCAAAACAGCACTCCAAGAGCTTGAACGGGAGGTTCTTCAGCATCCACCGTACTCTCCGGTTCTTACGTCTACCGACTATCACCTTATCCGCCCTCTGTCAAACGAAGTGTGGGGTGTTACCTTCGATGGCGAAGAGGATCTTGAAAACTGGCTCAACAACCTCGACACCTGACCGGCCGATTTTTGGCGAAACGGCATCAGATGGGAGAAGGTCGTAAACAGTAACGGAGGATACATCATTGGTTAATTTATTATTATAATTATTGTTTTTTGTTCAAATAAATCCTATGTTACAACCCAATATGTATTATACATAGAAAACAGCTGTGGTGACTCAGGAGCATTTGAGCATCCTCAATAAAATAATGGAAATGTTTCGTTATTATCCTACCAAAGTTGACGCGCTAGTGTGCCTGTCGCTTGGTCCTTGCGTGTGTGTCGAAGTCGGTGTTAGTTTTAGTATTGGTGTTAATACCGATATCGGTGTCAACGTCGATAGTGTGTCGAAGTGTGTGCCGGCGTAGGTGTCGGTGTGTGTATCAGTTTGTGTGTCGGTGTGTGTGTGTCGAGGTGGGTGCGTCGGTGTGCGTCGGTACATATGTGTGTGTTGGTTTATGTCTCCGTGTGTAAGTGTCGTTGCGTGTGGCGTGTGTGTGCGTCGATGGGTGTGTATGGATGTGTGTGTCGATGTGTATGTGTTGATGTATGTGTGTCGGTTAATGTGTCGGTGGGTGTGCATCGGTGTTTGGGTCAATATGTGTGTTGGCTTCTGGGTAGGTGTGTGTGCGTGGTGTGTGTCGATGTTTGTGAAGGTGTGCGTGTATGTCTCCTCGTGTTTCGGTGTGTGTGCGTGTCGATGTGTGTCGAAATGTGTGTCGGTTTGGGTGTCGGTGTGTGTGTGTGTGTGTGTGTCTGTGTGTCAATTGTGTAACGGTCTGTGCCGATATGTTTGTGTCTCCGTGTGTTCGTGTTTCGGTGCGTGTGTTAGTATGTGTGGTCACGAATGTGACGGTGTGTGTATGTCTCCTTGTGTTTCGGTGTGTGTGCGTGTCGGTGTGTGTGTTAGTGTGTGTCCCAGTGTTCGTGTGTGCACGTCGATGCGTGTGTGTCAAAGTTTGTGTGTCGGTTTGTCTTTGTTAGGTAATTGAAGTAGAATATTCAATAAAACATATACCACGATCGACTTTCTTTTAATATTGGCATGACTTTTTATCGATATGTATCTTTATTTGCTTCAGCCTTTCCAAGCCCTTCTAAACTTTATAGGGCTAACGTTTCGGCGAGTTCGCCTTCTTCAGAGCCTAAAAAGTCGAAAAACCATTGAGACTGACTCTACAATAAGGCGAGATAAACCCAAGACAGTTCTTTAGACTAGAGACCCCTCGGACCCGGTATACAAGATGCTTACCTTGTTCTAAATCGCCGAAGCGTTAGATCGACCATCCAGTGTTTACAGTATGCGTACAATGAGCAAGCCTACCTCCTTTCTGACCTCACCGCAATCTCCAAATTCGCAGAGGTCCAGAAAGGGCGCGAGGTCACGGGTTACGGCCATACGCTCTTCCTTCCTGTTAATTTGTGGGTCTCTAGCTGCAATACGAGATGAACCCAAGACAGTTCTCCAGTCTAAAGAACTGTCTTGAGTTTATCTCGCCTTATTGTAGAGTCAGTCTCAATGATTTCTCGACTTTTTAGGCTCTGAAGAAGGCGAACTCGCCTATAAAGTTTAGAATCTTGGAAAAGATGAAGCAAATAAAGATACATATTCAATAAATCAATAGTAGCTATACTTCTCCAATATGCCACGCGGGTAACGAAGTATTCACCACAAACTTGGGTAGTTAACTTTATCTATTACTAACAACTAACTAACTAACATACACTACCGACTATTATAACTATAATAACAATCAAACAGGCGAATAACGGCAAAGCCATAGATATATCAAATGTGTAAATGAAGCTAGTACTTGTGTGTTCGAGACCGAGTGCTTGTTGAAAAGTGAGTATAATAGTGAGTGCCACAAATAAAAAATCGTCTATAGCGCTTATAGTGCTAGATATAAGAATACTTATGGTGCATTTACCTGAAGTGATTTAAATACTCATAGCAATGTGAATCAGAAGGCAAATCTAAAAATTCGAACAAGAGGAAAAACAGAAATGCTCTGTTCCACTCGACGCATCTATTTTATATGCACACAGCGTCGGCATGTACAACATCAAACATGGGAACAATCTGATAAGATGTCAAAATACGTCGGTAGGTCGCGATACAGAGCTAATAAGCTAAAGATGTCTTAAGCTATATGTACAGCATGGTCCAGTCGATTATGGGAATTCCCCGGATTAACCAGATTGCTATGAGATTGAGTTATTGTGCAAAATAACTTATTATGTAAGAAGAATACTGTACGGTTCAGTATACTTTGGCCTTCTCAAGTGGATCTTGCATCTTTGATGCTCCCGAAGTTCCGCACTGGCTGCTTTTCTGGCGAAGTTGGTTGCAAGAAAGGCAGGATATCTTCTTTACGCAATGTCTTCCAGGGTGTATTTCGATGCATATGAAACATCTTTCTGTGGATTTGATACTCTTCAGCTCCTCATCCACTGTACGAACCGCTGGGTAAGCGTCTGAATATGCTTTCTAATCGCCCGACAGAAGATGTATAGGAGTGTGGCCCCACTACTCTTCAAGGCGGATCAGGATCTCCAAAATGACGTTCCCTCACAATGCTGTTACTCAAAAATCGATCGATGTCCATCAGCTCCCTTTCACTCTGGCGTAGTTTTTGTTCGCAAATGCCCCGTTTTTCAAGAAGTTCTTCGTCTACGTCATGCTTCTTTTTCGATCTTTTTCGGGTAATTTGGTCTCTTTAAGCACCACTTTGAGTTCATGGTGAGTGCGCGTCGATTTGTTGCCATTCCATCCACTATTTTGTTCATATGGACTTGACATTCTCTTTCTAGCTCTTGCATGGTTTCTTCTACACCCTCGACCTTACTGCGCACTTCATCTTGCAGGTCGGCCAGTCCCGAGCGCGTTTCCAACATAATGTCTTCTTATAATCGTGCTGCAGCTGGAAGTGATATTTTGCTTCTTCTATAGGGCTTTTTTCCATGTCCAATAGTGCACTGTAGTATCGTCTTGTCGTTTCATAAGCTCGACGACGTCGTTCCTTTCGTAACCGCGTCGCGTTTCTGTCATCTCAGGATGTCTGGGTTTTCTCGGAGCAGTGCGAGCGAGATTAACTTCGTTCCTCAGTTCTTGTAAGGGTTCCAGACGAGTCAATTCCTCCATCTCGTTGGCTGCCACAAGAACCTCGTACCATTCGTGAGCTAACAAGAAATTATTCAGGTAAATTGTGTCTTTGTGGTGTTCGTGCCCCTTGTGTAGCTGCTTCAACTTCATGAAAGTTGGAGCGCTCCCCCTCTTCTGTTGATGATGGTGTTTTTGCCTGCTTCTAAGTTGACAAACTGCTGTTCGTCTCCTTCCAGAACATCGTCACTTTCGTAGCATTTGTCGCTGTAGTACTTCAGCTTATATTGAATTAGCTCTATTTTTGATGTTACTTTAGTGTTCGTGTAGTCTCGATCGTGTTAAGGTTCCCATCTCGTGTCATGTTAGGTTTGTAGAACTGGAGGTGTTGTCATGCGAGTTAATCGAGGAACCACGAACAAGTACTCGATGGGTAAGTACTGTCGTTAGAGTGGTAGTGGTGTACGGTTAAGAAGCGAAAGGTCTTACGGAAGAAGACGAGTACAAAGCCTTCAGCCATACAAAGGTACGTTAGCAGTAATGCTACGGCAACAAGTCTGACTGTCGGAGTAGTGTTCCGCTCCAGTTCAGGAAGACATCAACTATGTGGCTCATGTCTTTGAGGTTAACCTCCAAAAACCCTTCATTCTCTCCATTGATGAGTCATGTTATTGCCGTGGAAATACTGCCGGTTCAGTGCAGAACACCAGTTATTTCAAATCGATGTCGTGCCCTTCCACAGTGAACTGTACAGATCGACAGAAATCGTGCAGTATCCGCGTGAAATCTCATTTTGGACGGTGCATGGTACAGTGGATGAATTGTCTCCGCACGGTATTTCTGCGTTCTCCTTCACAGTGATGAACTTTCACGTCACCGTCGCCGAAGCTCCTTTAGGTTCTTGCAACATCCTTGACAACGTGTACTTTCGATGGTGCGTACCGCGTTTGACACAAACGAGGTCGTCTGGAAAATCCCCTGTTCATTTAAGACGAATTGTACCGTCGTAAATGTTGCGGAATTCGTGCAAAAGGTTGACTTTGGTTCGCGCTTAACTCCACATCGGGTCGAAGTTGTGGTAGTCGATGGTCGAGATGCAGCATGTACGCTGTTAGGTTGATTTCCTTGCAACTGCAGTGCATTTCTACTTCTGCTGGCGTGCGGTCGCAGTCCTCCTCAGTTTCACACGTCATATTGCGAGCTCCGTCTGGTGTACGACAGATCAGTGGAGGACGATAGAGACGCGGAGCTAGCCTCAAGGTACTATCAAGAGCTGGTGTGGGTGGAACACTAAGTGATGACAATGTAAGTGTCCACCATGCAATGGTTTTCGCTCGATTTGACGACTCGTTATGAAACGTTTATTTCGGCGTGTTCATTACGCTCAATGCGCCTAGAAGGGCTACTGACGGTTTCCATTTCGCACATTTCGATGTTTCCTCATTTGGAATCAAGTAGAATTGGTAGAAGAGACATCCGGAACTAAGGTAGAAACGGCTGCACCCTAGTCCCCCGCAGATTTCTGTACATCCAGTAACACCTGGATACTGGCTGGCTCGTTGTCTTCCCTTCAAAAAGTAAGACCGATTCACCGCTCTGCATTTCTCGACCTTGTTAGCTCCAATCCGAGGGCACCGTTTGCTAGGTTTCCTTCTCACATATTATAATAGTTGAAGATGTTGCCAGAGAAAGCAAAGCTCTGTGACCGTAGAATCGTTCGCTGTTAGGCCCATGTTCTGCTCTCTTGAGAGGATTAACTTTTACGATTTCTATTGTGTCGATTGTACACGCGTCCTTTTTGCCTATGATCCTGCTTGTTTTGATATGTTGTGAAGGACATCAACTTCTTGGCATCCTTGTGTTAATGCTGCTATGTAGACAATGACCGCTATTCCTACCCACATGGTCTTACGTCGGCCCTTTGGCAGTGTGAGCAAACAGCGGATGATGGCCATGTAAAGTTTGAAGATAGTCCTTGTTGTCATCACCGCAAAAGAACCGATCACTTGTGCAGGGGCTCTCTTCTTACGAGCGGCACTGCAAAGATGACATACAGGGTGGGCCAAAATTATGATTACAGCGCGCGCTGACGTTCATTGCTAATTTTTTCTATGTTCATAGCAATTCATTGAATTTCTTCCATTTCTCAAAGTAGCTTACGTTATTACCTTTCTAATGATACTAAACCTTTGGTAGATTTTTATCATAATATAAGCGTAACTAGTCCGTGAATTAAACGTCACTTTGCATTTACAAACACTTTTGGCACGGTGCATCTACAAACGAACTACCGCAATAAGGCAGGTATTGCATTCAACCATAAGACGCTCTCGAGAGTTGGGAACAATTGCAGATAGGAGTGGTAAACCGAGGAGATCTGTGGTTATATTTAGGGGAAGTGTTAAGGAAGCAGGGCAAAGGTCTACGTAGGAGCAAAATTCATTCTGAGTCCAAAAAGGATAAATGAATGGATATGTCACGAAATTTTCGGTGTGAAATCGTGAAGCATCACCGGCACAAGGAGATCCTTATAAGATCAGAAAGTGATCTCCCCAGTGAGCAGGTTAAAGAGAAGAGAAAGGTTGGCTAACAAAAGCTGCCTGTCGCATCCGAAAAAATTGTCCTACGGAATTCCTGTTCACCGACGAGATAAGATTCACAGTGAAATAGGTGCTCAATAAGTAGAGCGATAATATTTATATGAAGCTTAAAGAAATGAAAGTGATACAGCGCCTGGCTCAATAACTTTCTGTGATGGCCTGTGCTAGCATCACCGCCGAGGCGAAGACACCGATTATTCTTGTGAATTATGGAGTGAAAGTTGGTTTGGAAGCCTGTTTGATCTCTTCGTGCGCAATAGAACACTTTCGCTATTCAAATAGGACATAGTGTCAAAATGAAGCTCCCGGCCGCAGATCAGAAATTGTCGAGAAATTTCGTGAAAGTGGTTTTTTGACATCATAACCTTCAATCAGTGATCACTCTGGAGCCCTGGCCTAATTCCCATGAATGTCTCAATGTGGTCAGCTCTGAGGTGAAAGCATCCTCTAGCCCAAACAAGAGAAGAAATTATCTCGAAAATGCTTAGCAAAAAGCCGGGACCACTTCGATGACCCTAGCTGCGTGCCAACGTCAATGCCATCCATCGTCGTCTTTAGGGTTGGGTGAAAGCAGGAGGCAACAGATATCCGTTTCAACGTACAGTTTTGATAAGAAATTTGTGATAAACCCTCTAATGAAATTGGTTTGCTCTATATGCTTTCTATTCGTTTTCTGCGATGTTATTTCTGTGTAATCATAATTTTGGCCCACCCTGTATATCTTCATGAGGATAATATATGTATATTCCTATGTGTCCCGCTAAGGCTGCTCGTGGCCAGCATTCCGGGCTAGCGATGTTTTCCACACAGAATGTACATCCGATACTGGGGCAAAATGGCGTTGCCCTACAGATGCTTTCCACTAATTCTATACTGGCTCCATAGTTGATCTTTCACTTCACTAGATAGTCATGGAGGGTTATCTGTGATGGGAATTCGACATTTTCAATCATTTCTGGCGAGGAGAAGGACAGACTGTAATTCTCCGTGCAGATATCATACGGATTGTTACCGTCTTGCGTAAGTTGTACGCCGCCTGCTATGCGTGATAGTTGATATTCCATAAGGGTGTCGTTGTTCGCCATTATAAGATTCACCATTCACGCGTCCTCAGATTATACAGACATACTGTCGGCTCCTTAACAGCGATCGTGGTATTTCTGGTCGGTTGATTCGGTACGATTTTCGTGTTTTCGTCTACGCTTGTATTACCGATTCCCAAAGAAATAACCGGTTAACCGGACTACGGATTCGATGCTTCACCATGATGAGTATGGTAAAAAGAGTCCTTAGATGTGTCGGACAAGGTTTAGATTATGCTGTTTCAGGAGAATCTCCTGGTCGTCTTCATTGCTCTCCATTGTTTCAATTGATTTCTCCCACGCGTCCTCAGATTATGCAGACATACTGTCGGCTCCTTAACAGCGATCGTGGTATCTCTGGTCGGTTGATTCGGTACGATTTTCGTGTTTTCGTCTACGCTTGTATTACCGATTCCCAAGGAAATAACCGGTTAACCGGACTACGGATTCGATGCTTCTCCGTAGCTGTACGATTCGACCGATGATCCATGTATGTTGTGGTTGTTCCGGCTCACAAAGTAGTACTATCACACCCTATTGTGGAGTAAGCGTGGATCCACGTTTCTTATCCGTGTGATGTCGATGATATTCTCATGAGCTTGTGAGGTACTGTGTTCTTCATATGCACCAGATTTGTTCCGTTAGCTCCACTGATGATTTCAGAGACTTTTCTACTTGGTTTTATGGACGCAGTTGTATCGCCTCTTGCGGGATATGATAAGTTGGATACTTGTGAGAAGCCGATGTATTCAAGTGGGTAATCAAAAATTACGCCCCTCCGTAGAAAATCGATTGGCTCAGACATGGTTGTTGTTCCCAATGCTCCTCCTCGCGCGTCAGTGGTCTGGAATTCAACGCTGCTTCTATCTCCGTAAGCGTTGTGCGTAACTCCCTGAGACCTTGCGAAGCCCCGGCGCCTTGTTCAGCGATAAGTTGATGAATTTAATCAGCCTTTCATAGAATCCACCTTGCCACGGTGCGTAAGGCGTGATGTGACCACAGTTAGTTTCTCGTTGTGCTACAGCGTGGACTACATCCGAGTGCTCCATCGTCTGTCTACGGCTTCGTGTAGAATCCGCTCCTTCAAACGGAACGTTGGCGCGTTGTCGCACGTGATTGTCCTTGGTATCCCTCTTCGTGCAAAAATCTGCGAATCTCGTTCAGGAACTTTTCTGTGGTCATACCCTCCGCGAGCTCCAAGTGAGCAAGCCTCGTGGCGACGCAGGTGAAGATGCATCCATATGCTTTGTTGAGCTCGCCTCCCGTGCCTGATATGGTTAGGAGGCCAAAGTAAGTAGTTTCTAGTCCAGTATGTTCTAATGGGTGCACTCGCTGGACACGTCGTTCCAGGAGGTTTGCCATATCTGGGTAACGGAATGGTAAGTTGTTCTGCTTCTGGCTTGGGAAGTATTTCCGTAGGAGTCGCGCCGTTTTTGTCTCAATTTTGGCATGTTTAAGACGTCCATAACAGCTTGATATCCCTTCAACAGGCTGAACATTCAGTTACTTTCGCAACGAGATCGTGTTCGTATTAACTACAGCGCCTTGGTGATCGCAAATGATAAAATTCTTTGCTTCGCGCGACTCTAATTCTGACAGTTCGTGCTTCAAAGCTGCCTTTTCGAAAGCGGTAATCGTGTCAAAAAATGGCTTCTTTTCGGTCTGTCTCGAACCAGTGATCTTTTTATAAGTCGGAGCGAATACGTGACCTCCCGTTGTGCTTTGTGTAGTGTCCTGAAGCTTGAGAGATCAAGGTGGTCAGTTTGTCCAGCTTGTTCTTTTCTTTAAAAAGAGTTGAGACCACCGTGTCGGCTTAGATCTCATCCAGCCCCTACTCATCCTGCGTGGAGATTTGGAACATACCTTCGAACTGTCCTTATTTGACACATGTCCGATTAAGCATTCAACGGCCTCAGCGTCTAATTTAGTAACAATTTTCTTGACTTCTTTCAACCGGTTGGTCACCAGCACCCCTATATTCTTGCGATCAGGTGGTACATTAAGCCATCCTAGAACAATCTCAGAGTCTGTAAAAAGAAGGGTCTGTCGTATGTCTACAAGTGGGCACAAGGACGTGTGAACGAAATGTGCCAATCGTGTCGCAAGTGTAAGAGCATCCGTTTCAAACTCAGGAAACGTTATGGATGTTCTCAGAGATGGTGGTTTCGATTTTGCCATCATTAATTTTATCGACGAAGATGAACCGATTTAGCCGCATGCTGGCATAGCAATGTGGCTGGCGTCTGCTAAAACAAACATAGTTGACTTTTCCTCACATAGTATCGCTTGCCTCTCCAACTCCTCATAAAATATGCTAATCCCCTGAGAAATAATAAGCCATTGTTCCTTTAGGACAGGCGATGAAGGCGTGTCCCAACCATACTCGTCCTTCCGAAGTGGCTGAAGAAACACTTTTGCCGGAGGTAGTATTGGTACACGAATCTCAGGTTATCATATACCAATACAAGTGCCTCGATACTGTTCTCCTGGTGACAATCCCGGATGGGTTCATTCCCCTTTGAGAAAATATTTATCGTGCTGTGGATCCCACTGTAGTCTCGGGACCTTTGGGTAATCCGTTCGTGATCGATCTTCACAAGGAATTGAATAGTTGAAGACGCTATCGTTAGACCAAAACTCTCTCAAGTTCATATTGAGGCCATTGAAAACTTCTTTAGGTCCCGATAAACAAAATATCGACGTAGAGGTTTTCTTTTTCGGATACGGTAAATAGTGCACTACGGTCCCTTCAAATGGTTCTTTCTGCAGGACCTCCTCTATGACACCCTTTTTAAGCTATTCTTTAAAAATGGCATCATATTGCAGTAGTGTATCCTTATCGTGTGAATACGTTCCAAGCACTTTATGAAGTCTTTTTTAACGGGATTGATCTGTTGTCTGGCACAGTAGAGCAGCTCGACTTCCACGGTAACCTGACATAGTATCTGTCATGTTGCGTCGAATAGTGTTCCAAAACACTTGAAGGAATTTCTCATTGATCTGTTGACGTTCTGATTTTTCCAGTCCCTTTCATCTGTACCTGTGTCTTCGAGAGCCCAATAACGGTCCCACGTCTCCTTTTCTTCATCTGTGCAACAGTTGACGAGGGCTTTTGTTGATGCATTTGCTTCTAGAGACTGTCGTCCGCTAACTATATAGCCGAATCTTGTTGGTATCAGTTACAGACCATAGGGTGACGTTATTTTTCCTAAAGGCTGCATAAAACCCCGCAAGTAATTGTAACCTAGCAATATTTTCGGCTGTACTGACGGCAGTCGCTCTAGCATGGATAATGTGATGCTATGGTTGGAAATGAAATCGCGGTCCCCTTCATCAAGGTCTGCTTGTTCTATCGTACCCGTTATGTACTGGCTTCGGTGCAACTGTAGCTCGTGTGGAATACCTTCAATGTCACAGAGGTGCAAGGTTGTGATATCGCATTCCCTAGTATAAGACTTGGGCGAGCAGAAAGTCCCAACCGTCAATGTCGTGTTATTGACTTTCGGTAGATCCAATTCGTCGGCGAGCTTATCACATATAATGGGAAGCTCCGGTATCTAAGAGCACAATCGCTTCCCGTAGGCTGATTTTGGCGTCGAGTACTTGTATGCGGAACCTATTAGCAGAACAACCTTATTACGCGTTGTCCCTGGTCTCCGCGGTTGGCGGTAGGCTTGTAGCACTATTATTCTGTTCAACCATTGTTGAGGTGGGATCCGGGCCTATATGACTCGCCTTTGTTGTTTAGATGATCTTGCAGGTTTCGTCCTCAAAGGTTCTTTCTGTGTATGCTTTTGTTGTCGCATGGATGGTGAGGCAATAGTACCCTCTTTCGGTAGGGCTTTGCTGTGTTGATTCAGTGTAAATTGTTGTATGGTGTTTCCCTTGACAATTTCGACAAGCGCCACTGGAACACGACGGGATTCGCTGCATACTTGACCCGCAGTTTGGGCATCTATTCGTTTCGATAAATTTTTTTTTTTGCGGAGATGGTAGGGAGTCGTGGGCAGCTGTTCCATTTGTGTCCCTTCTGTTTACAGTTTTTACAGCACATTGGGTTCTTAGTACTACCTCTCACTCTATTTGGTTGTTACTGGGTGTCGGCCTTTTCCAGGTCGTCGGTTGTCATTTCCTATAAGTTTTCCTTTTGAGACGTGACTCCTTCTATTACCCACAGCCACTGAGAAAATGTCCACTCTGATTGTGTCGGCTCTGAGGTTCCGCGTATCGCTTTAGCTTTGGACTTTGGAGGCGTCTCTCCATGGCTGCCTTCTGCATTCTGATGTAAAACTTTTGCAGAAACGTGTGGATGGTTAAATGGGTGTCTACGTGTTTCCCGTTCTATTTGAGTTGAATAGCTATTGCCGACACTTTATCAATAAGCTGGCGTTGGTCTTCCGTGCGTGGACTGCGAGCACCCGAGATTTCATTGCCATATGTAGGTTACGAATATTGCCGTCCTTTTGACCGTATCTATTCTTCAGATGTTCCAAAGCTTGTTATGACTGTCTGCACTGACTTGGAACCTCGATAATGATTGCTTCGCTTCCTAGCAAGGGATGACAGTAGATAAATGACCCAAAAGTTTCCCATTCCCAACGCTTACCGCTGAAGGTGGGTATGGGAATAGGTGGAAGTTTGCTTACAGGCAGAAAATTCATTGGCTTTGTTTCCTGTTGTGCTTCCTGATCGTGCTCTAACGAATCTACGAGATCGTCCAGAGTATAAAGGTCCTTCTTGCGACCATCCAGCATCATAATGATACTATGTGCTTTGTTCATGAACGTGTCGAATTCGGTATCATCGTCGTCTGTTCGATGACATTTGTTGACCGTTTTCTTCTTGTCATTGTCCCGGGGTGGTCTCAGAAAAAGCCCGCTTTCTTTCAACCATTCCTATATAGACTGGACTGGTTTAATTAGAAGGTCCCCTTGCATTCGAATAACGGCGGACATCTTGTCGAGAAGGTATGTTATATATTTCGGTTCTCAATTTAGTGTTCCGTTAGTGTTATCCTTGGGTTTAGTATTGTTAGTACAATAGCGAATCTGAGATAACCAAAAAACTGCACTCAAATATGCAGGTTACGAAAGAAAGAGAAGGATCATAGTGCTTTCGTGTCACTTTGAACTTGAAACCCTCGACTCTTTGTAATAGATTGATGCTTAATTAATGCGGATTTTTTGCGAATTCTTCTCTCTTGATACAACTTGAATATTGAAAAATGATCTTCTTGCTTCTCTCAACAGCGAAATGTCTAGAAACATGTACGCTACATTATGCCCTGTTACTTCAAGAAAGGTTGGGAGGCGGCACAGTCATGAAGTGATCTCAACGAGTTTCTCGGCGGTGGAACAGCCAACCAAAGCCGATTAACGAAAGGAATCTGCTTCTACGGTCGCTCTATTCACCTACAGAAACTCATATGGATTACCACGTTAATCGTCCTCGGGAAAATTGGCTATTGCATAGAACTTTTGACGAAATGGATGACTTGATGGTCGACGTCAAGGCATGGATCGTTTCCGAGAATCAAAACTTCTTCGCCTTTGAAATCCGATTGCCTAGCAAATGGGAAGCAGTCTTAACGTATATAGATGGTGGATATGCTGCGGAGTAATTGTATGAACATGCCTTTGCTAGATATTTCTATCATTTCTTCAAGTAAAACTTGCTTGAAAACCCCGCAGTAATCATGCATCAGCCTAATATTATTCAATCGAACAGTCCGCAATGAAGACTGGAATATACTCGATTCAAAGATCCTTTGTGATCGACTTTGTGTCGCAGAAAGAAAATCTCGGCTTTGTTCAACTTAGAGACGACAAGTTATAATGTTCGCACCTCCCGAGCGTATATGATCCACCAAAGAAACCGATGCACCACTTGATGAAGAAAATCCGATAAATCAATAGTCGCTATACTTCTGCAATATGCCATGCGAGTAACGTGATATTCTACCACAAACTCCGGTAATTAAACTTTATCTGTTACTAACAACTAACTAACTAACATACACTACCGACTATAATAATTAATAACAATCAAACAGGCGAATAACGTCAAAGACATAGGCATGTCAAATGAGTGAATGAAGCTACCTGTGGGTTCGAGCCCGAGTGCTTGTTGAAAATATCATAGAGTGTGCCACAAATAAAAAATCTTCTAGCGCTTATAGTGCTGAATATAAGTAACTTCCATGTTCAGTCTTCTTGAAACCTGGGCATATTACATAATTTTCACAATGCTTGGCGGTTCAGGTTTGTTATGATGTAACCGCTTATTTGGTCGACGTTCCGAACAAATCGTCGTCTTCAGGACCTTAAAGCAGTTTGGAGCTCCTGATCTGTGACTTACCCGACCAAGCGCCCAAACGCGCCAGCCCAGTTGCAGCGGCTCCTAGCAACTTGAACACTAAAAGATCCCAACCGAGAAACCAACATTCCGCGGTTCCACCAGCGTTGTGTCCCACTCGATTTCGTTAACAGCAAGGGACCAATGAGGCACCATTGACGGTCGCTGGATAAGGGTTGTGTGGTGTTCTCAAAGCCCACACAAAGGAATGAATGGCAGAAATTCGCGTATTATGGCAATGCACTCACTTCGGTTGTTCAACACGGGATTTCTCTCGCTGATGTATGTAAGATCTTTCTAGCACCGGTCTCATTTTTCGTGGGTGTACTTTTAGTCGATGCTTCCCAAGCGTCGTAAGGAGGCTTCAACGCCGCCTTTTACCTACTAGATGTTCTTTGACACATATGCCTAACATTCTTCTTCACCAATGTATACTTCGTCACAAGCCTAAAGGCACAGCTCACGATAATTTTGTGTAACCAAGATTATGGCGAAAAATGGAAGACTAGATGGAAAATAGTGCGATGCAGGCGAAGGAACTGCGTGGATCGGTGTTTCTGAAGTGAAAAAAGGCTTCGAGAAATCGGTAAAAGGGGGCTGGACGAGAATGAGACCAGGAGAATGAAGTAACATGGGGCGTTTGGACCATCCACGCACAGTGCGTTATTGCGTACGTGTGGGTCCTGGTGCAAATAACTGACTACGGTAAGCAAAAATCCATTCACTCATTCATTCAAAAAATAAGCATAAGTAAACAAACAACCCTAGTTACAGCAAAAATAGCTCACCTTTTTCAGCCTTTGTGGTAGCAAATTTAAAAAAGGGATCGCGGCAGCAAAAAGAATAACAGAGGAAAAAAGAATGAGAGAAAAACATCGTCTAATCACTCGGCGACCAGCTGATTGTGTGTGAGTCCTAAAACGAGTTATAGCAATCTATATTGCCTCGAACTCGTCTGACGTGACATCGATCGAGAGGCGGGAAAGCCACTCAAGCCAGCAACAGGGCTTTCACTGTGCCCTGACTGTCGAGATTTTGGGAGCGAAAGGGTCCCTTCTACCACCCATGGGAGCCGCTGAGTATTTCTTAAGGAAAAACTAAGCAACCATTTTTATCGTGAACCGTGCCTTCAACATTGAAGTTGGTACACTGTCCCTCCCTGTGTGCCATCCCAGTCTTTTCAATCAGACAAATAACGCAGCTGCTCGAAGAAAGTGCATGATCATAAAGTCTATCGCGGATAAGATGACATTTGATATTGCCCGTTGGTAGGTTTACCAAGACAGCATCATTAGCCATATCCGCCTCAGCAATGCATTGTCGGAATTCTGCGCTGAATTTGCTCGATCTAAATGGAAGCCGGGGATGCATCACGTTTTCACAGTTTCTCAGCGAATAAGCTTCTGAGCCTGACCTCCTGTGTTGTGTCCCTGATGTGGAGTCGAGGCGGAGAAGATTTATTGTTGGAGACGAACTGGATACAATGATATTTAGTGAAAAGGCCGGGTTTATATACCAGTTGGCCTGGTCAAATACCCTGGTCAAATTGCAGTAATACCAGATCAAAACCTACAATTTGGCGTCTGAAAGGTAGTCTTCAATTGACTGTGGTAGACCACATGTGATAGCTAGAAGCCTACAACACCTCCCCTTTCAATTACAAAGAACATATGTAGAGTCAACAAATAACAAAATAGAACATGTTAGAGGAGTACGATTTCTTCTTCGGATCTACCATGAGTCGGTGTGGTGAGTGACGAGTCCGCAGTGAACGTCGTAGTCGCGGCGTCGAGGGGGGAGCTGAACGGTGAGCGGCTTCATGATCCGGCGTCGTCAGATTGCACGGAGTTGACGTCGTACCGTTCAGCGGCGTCGGTTGATCTCAGATTCCATCAGCTTCCCTGTAGAAATGATGTAGGAATGGTATCGAACACATCGAGTAGTTGGTTGACTACTGGCTGACTGTCGCGTGGCCTCAACTGGTTGGCGTGTCTTGTCCATAGTGAGTTTCCGCAACGTACGTGATACATGACGTTTCCGAGGCGTCTAACGATGATCCCAGGTGTCCAAGTAGTTTTTGCTTGACGATAGTCCTTGGCGTAAACAGCATCATCCACGTCGAAATAGCGTGGTTTGGCTCCATGATGTCTGTTGAACTGATCCCCCATTTTGGTGTCACGACGTCCGATGTTTTCGTCTGAGAATGGCATCATCAGGTCTAGTTCAGTGCGTATGCGACAGCCGAGAAAGTTTTCAGCAGGTGGCAGATGATTCGATCAGGATGGGCAGGGTGTCGACCGGTAGGCCATCAGAAAAGCCTGAAGCGCTTCTGCCGTTGGTTCCTCCCCCTTCAATTTGGCCAATCCTCTCTTGAACGTGTCTACGAAGCGTTTCGCTTGCCTATTGCTCTGCGGATGGAAGGGAGGAGATCGAACATGTTTGATTCCTCGACGGCGGCAGAAATCCACGAATGTTGCTGAAGTAAACTGGGTGCCGTTGTCCGTGATGAGCGTCTGTGGATTTCGGAACTGTGCGAAAACTTTTGTCGAACCTTGATTGTTACCGGTGTGGTGATCGAATTCATCTGGATAATCTCGGGCCATTTAGAGAATGCATCCACGATGACGAGGTAAAAGTTGCCATCGAAGGGTCCTGCGAAGTCGGCATGCACTTGAGCCCACGGAGTGAGTGGCTTCGGCCAAGATTGGAGCTCGGCCTTCACAGGATTCTTGGCCTGTTGTGCACATGTAGCGCAGTTTCTGACGAGCCTCACTATATCTGCTTCCATCGGCGGCCAATACACATAGCTGCGAGCCATCTTCATCCTTGTTTGACCTGGATGCGCTTTGTGGAGCACTTGCAGGACGCGGCGTTGAAGTAAGTTCGGGATGACGAGACGGTTAGACGTGAGCGGACATGAGCCAATGGTCGATAGTGACTCTTGTCGATTGTAGTATGGCCAGAATTGTGAGTCTCGGTTCACTTTTGGCCATTTTCCAGATCGTATGTAGCCGATAACTTAGGTCAGGGTATGGTCCGCAGTAGTTGCCGCTTTGACGAAGCTGAATGAGACCGGTAGTCGATGGCAATTGTCCATCACTTCGGCGCAGAGATCAGTGTTGGCTGAAGCAATAACTCGGTCTTCTGGTTTCGGCGACTGTAGCCCACTTAGTCTTGAAAGGGCGTCGGCTTGTCCAAATTCGCTCGTCTTGACATACTGAATGCTGAAATTGTAGTTCAACAGCGTAGTAGCCCATCGTTGGAGGCGATTAGCAGTGTAGACGGAAACTTCTTTGTTCGTCCCGAAAATGGAGATGAGCGGTTTGTAGTCCGTCCTCAGCGTGAAATGACGTCCATGTATGAAGCGCTGAAATTTTTGGGCTGCAAAAATGATAGCCAAGGCTTCCTTCTCAATCTGGCTATACTTTTTCTGTGCTGGCGTCAAAACGCGGCTAGCGAGGTAGACAGCTTTTTCGTGTCCGTCTGGGAATCTTTGTGAGAGGACAGCTCCAATTCCGTAGTTGGAAGCGTCTGCAGCGACGATAAGCGGCAGAGTAGGGTCGTAGTGTGCAGGAAGAAGGTCGGATTTGAGAGTCTTCTTGATCCGATCAGGATTGACACTGGAAAGCAGGATTGACATTCCGGTGACCATGTGAAGGCGGCATCCTTCTTGGTGAGTGCGTCAAGTGGTGCGCGTAGATTGTGCAGTTCACGGACAAATGTTCCGTAGAAGTTGACCAATTCAAGGAAGGCTCTCACTTGACTGACATCTTTGGATATCGTCATCCTCTGGATTGCTTCGATTTTGCTCGGGTCTGATCGTCGTCCTTCGGCATCGATTATGAAGCCAAGATAGCGAATTTCGGTGTGCAAAAGTGAGCACTTTTCCAAGCGTAGGCGGAATCCGAAGTCCTGGATTCGCCTAAAACTGTCTCTAGGCGAGGGTTGTGCTCCTCTATAGATTTCCCGGTGACAATTATATCGTCGAGGTACGCGGCAGTACCCTCCAATCCTGCAGTCAGGGTGTCCATTTGCTGCTGGAAAATTGCCGGGGTCGCTTTCACTCCAAAAGGTAAGCGATCGAAGCGATATATATAGCCGCGGTGTGTGTTGATTGTGAGCAGTTGTCGCGATTCCTCGTCCATTTCTATCTGCAAATACGCTTCAGCTAAGCCTAGTTGGAAAAAGTACCTTCCACCGTTGAGCTTAGCGAAGATATCGTCTGGAGCCGGAAGCGGGTGCTGGTGCTGCTCGAGTGCGTCGTTTAGGCCCGTAGAAAAGTCTGCGCAAAGACGGATCGATCGATTCTTCTTCTGAACGACGACCACCGGCGCTGCCCAGTCGGAGTGTTCCACAGGCGTCAGTACCTTTCCAGCTACCAGGCGATCTATTTCTGGGCTGATCCTTGGCTGAACAGCATATGGAACTGGACGAGCTTTCCGGAAGACAGGAGTCGCGTCCGGCTTGAGCTTGAGCGAAGCTTTCGTTTTTGTGCAAAACCCCAGTTCTGGGGCGAATACAGCAGGGAACTGTTTCTTTAGTCGTGTGGTGAGGGACGATCGTGCAGTAGCCAGTGTAGAGTCGGATATGGTACTGAACTTAATACTTCCAATGAGGCGATTGAAGAGCGGCTCGACCTGTGCGATGTCAGTCGAGTCCCAGTAGCGAAGTAGTGTCGGCAACATGGCAGGTTCCACTCCCTTGGCGTCCATCAATGGCGAATGTGCACTTGAAGTAGCCGCAAACACTGATTTCCTTGTTGTTTGCAGATTCAACTTAAATAGCGGTGGTAGCAGCTTCGGACGGCCTACTGCGATCCAGTCCTTGTGGCTCAGAAGTGTGACGTCTGCGCCTGTATCTAGGCGCATGCGTGTGGAGACTCCATTGACCTTGATGGTCAGGTAGATGCGTCTGATTGGAGCTATCCTGGCGGTGGCGGAAGCGGCGATGACGATTTGGTTGGCCCTTTTTCGCTTTTTCTTCAGGTTAGACGTCCTCTTCTTGTTAAAATTCTTGCAAAATCCCTTCTTGTGTCCGAGAAGGTTACATGCGTGACAGTGTTTTTCGATGAAGTCGCATTCCTTCGCCCAGTGGAGTCCTCCACAGCGGAAACATGGCGAAGGTGGTTCTCTGTTCTGGCCCTTGTTGGCCTCCACCGCGTTGATTTCGGATGAGGGTGCAGCTGGTGACGGTGGGCTGCACATAAGCTTGGCGTCCTGTCGGATATCTAGAAGTTGTTAAATTTCGGCGCTGAGCTCCCTCAGTGTAGTTTCAGGACTATTCTCCAGCTTGCGTAGAGCGTGAGTGCGGATGTCGGCGTATTCGGGTGCCGCTAAGCCACAGATCCAGACGAGGCATTTCATTTGTTCGGCCGTGAAGGCGTTGTTTTCTGCCATTTCATGACGTCGATTCACTGACCCTGTGTAGTCGCGGAGGCTTTCACCGTTGCACTGGGTTTTCAGGTAGGCGTAACGGCGGGCGAAGACTGATGTGCTGTGCCCGAACAGTTCCTGCAGCGTCTTCACAGTCTCCGCCAGTGAGATCTCGGCTGCTTTCCTTGGAAGAATATGGTTAGTGAACCGGGCGTAGGCAGGTGCATCGAGCTTCGACACAATGAGGCGTGCCTTTGCTGCTTCGTCGAGAGTGGCACCATCCTGCGTAATGATGTCCTGGTAACGGCTGTACCAGACGTAGAAGGTGCAGCCGTTTTCCGCGTCGTTTTCTGCGTGAACTCGGGCAGCCGTGCAGACAGCGAGTTAGTGAAGAACTCAGCTGATGTGGCGTGAGCAGTCGTCGATGTGGACGTCATCGACGAGATCATGCCTGCATCTTCTTCATGACGGCCTGTAGCATCTTCTCCTGAGCAGCGGCTTGGGCACTGAGAATAGCACGTAGTGTGTCAGCATCAATCGTAGTCGGCGTTGCTTGATTGAGTTGGCTGCTCGGCGTAGTCGATCCTGATCGCCAGTTGATGTGGAGTCGAGGCGGAGAAGATTTATTGCTGGAGACGAACTGGATACAATGATAATAAGTGAAAAGGCCGGGTTTATATACCAGTTGGCCTGGCCAAATACCCTGGTCAAATTGCAGTAATACCAGATCAAAACCTACAATTTGGCACCTAAAGGGTAGTCTTCAATTGACTATGGTAGACCACATGTGATAGCTAGAAGCCTACAACAGTCCCATAGCCAAGTCTGCGATCTCGCATGCTAGCTTCATGCTCGTCCAGCATTTCGGAGACTTCTTGATGAGCTTCGTTCTTGTTGACTTCGCATAAAGCGCAGTTACATGAAACGACCCTACTACGCAGTTTTCTCGAAGCATAAATAAACGCAGCCGATCAAGAAACTCATTGGTATTAGGCAGGTCTGAAGGTACGTATCGGAGTAGTTGATCAACAATTTTGTTGAGGAACTATGAGATACGGTCCGTTGGTCCTCCTACACAGCCAATAATGGGACTAGTTTTGTAATCACTTGCAATAACTGACTTTTAGCTCCGTTGGATAATTTATGAGTCTTGATCAAGCTATAGAAAATGGGCACGAGGGCGTATCCAACTTCAATCTTCTGATAAACATTCTGTCTAATTTGGCTATCTTTCCAACTGATACCCACGAAGCATTCAGCTCGTGACTTTGTGCGAGAAACGCCTTTTCGTGGAATGACTGTAGGCAGAAATGTCATTAGACGTTTTGTTCACGAGAAATGCTCTGCACGAAGGTGTGCTTCCTTATCTGAATTTTGATACGATGGATAATTTTGATACGTGGATAAAAATCTCAGGTTGAAGGTGTCATGTGAAGTGATATCGGAATAATAGCTCGAAGAACGTTTTACTCCACGCAAAGTCTGCCTACCCTACCTTGGTGCTGTGAAACGTGCAGTAGTTCAGAACAGCTACAGGAGTGAGTGCAGGCGAGGTGGAACGAGAGTAGTCACGCAACGTAGCATGCGAGATCGCAAACTTGAACGTCTAAGGG